CACAAGAACCAGGGTCTGCCTTCTTTCACTGTGCTCACTCGAGGGCCAAGAATAATATCTGAAAAGCGGGCTGAGGATCTCAATTTTTTACAGCGGCTTTTACCGTCATCCGTCGCAAAGGGGTTTAACATGGCAATTTCAACACAGATATGCAGCAATGTACGGCAATAATTGTTTCAGATCACTCTTCCAGATCAGCTAATGAGTAACCTTAAAGTCGCTATATTTGGTGTCTTTGATTGAGAGATAAATAGGTGCTTGGCTGGTCTCAAACATTCATTTAAGACTGGTTCAGGAGAATGGCAGCCCGGCCACTAGTTGCATCCATTTTCCTGAGCCGGTCTTGAACGTTGCCAGTACATGTTCAGTCCCATTCATAAATACCTTTACAGTCAAAGTCACAACAACTTTAACAATTACAAATTTCCAACAATAGCTACAATACTGTTCAACAAGTTAACTGATTTCATTTTTACCCCTCTGGTCATGTTATGGTATGCTCCTTCCACAAGCAGCTGTAAAAAATCTGGTAAAAAATTTGAATTACATGTTCATCATCCACCCTACCCCAGTAACTGACACATCCTTATGCCATTGCACTTTGCACCCAATCAAAGCCAAGAGCTCAGACCACCCTGTCAGGCAGCTTATTTTGTCTACACTACCAGAACTCCAAATTTCAGTAACGTACAGACTGGTCTTTGTCCATGTACCCTCATTGAATGATGTCTTCCCAACAGCATTCAGGGGAGCATGGACCATTTGGATGTTTGAAAAAACAATGCACTACTTGATATATTTAACCTAAAAGGATGTCAAATACACCATACGTGTATTATTTTACATGCACTATGAAAAAAGCATACATTTTCAGAAAAGGTGTGTCCTTCCACGAAACGTTCAGTTCTGATATCCTTTACTTAAATTCACCATCCATAACTGAGTGCTTGCATACATGTACCCGAGGGATTAAGCTGTGCCAAGCCAGCCCCTACCAGAACATGAGGATTAGGGTGCAAATATGCAGTATCCCCCAAGTAAAGAGGGTCACAAAACCATCCCTTATTTTTAAATTGAATCCTACATCAAATTTTAACCACTTGCTGCCGGATGGATTTTTCTTGAGCAAGACAAGATGCCAGGCCCTTTTCAAAATTTCCCGTTTTCAAAATTCTTCAAAAATTCATCATTTCATTTAATGACCCTTTATACCCACATGAAGGACTCTTTGGGACTACTCTAAAGCTGACAGTTAACCTTCATTGACTTTTGAATATTTCAGCAAGGCCTGCAGCCTTGGAAAAAGAGCTCAGATTGTGCGGTATTACGTAAGATTCTTTTGTTCTCGAAACCAGCAGCACAGTGCACTGCTGACCTCTTTTCAATAGGGGCCAGATTAGCATACAGCAGTGCTGACATCTCGTGAGTCATGATTCTGGCATGTCTAGGGAAGGGGGGTACAACCATGACAACTTTTACACTAATTTATTACAGACACTGTGTCATGGTCAACTGTTGCTTGTTAATGGAGGAAAATTGTACAAACTAATGGATAAAGTGTTTTAGTAATGATGTGGACAGAGCATTGCACTGGCAGAAAGCTTAGTAAGTGCAGCCCAGGTTGGACGACATCTACATTGCACTGCGACTAACGTCCAGGGCATTAAAAGTCCTCCTACTGCGAAATTTTTGTCAACAGTTTTCTCACATTTTTACCTTACAAAAACAGCTCAAATGTCGTTCACAAGTGCCTTGTATCCCAAATTCCATAAATGCTATGATGAAATTACCAAATACGCTCATGGACAACGTATTTTGCAGAAAATTCTGTGAAACTCTACGCTATCCGTTGTGATTCGTGAACGACCCATTATCATGCGGTAGTACGCATTTGTGCATGCGCGAAATGGCCTCCAAGCATTCTGTCAGTTCTAGTTATGCATGTTGTCTAGAGCCAAGTCTAGGTCTTCGCTTCATTACAAATACGTGGAGATGCGCAGACAGTAGACTTAGCTTTATCTTCGGAAGCCCGCTCCGACACGGCCATATCTGCGACTTCTTTACGCCCACAGCTCTTCCACGCATGCGTAAGGGGCACTTGGTTAGGCCTAAATTCCACACATGTGCGAGTAGTACGCATGCTAGACAAACGTGATCAATGTACATGTATGTACATGCAAATCTTTAACCAATCACGACGGAAAACCAGAATTTTGCAAAATTTCCCGCAAAACATGTTGTCCCCGGGCATATTTAGTAATTTCAACATAGCACTTATGGAATTCGGGATACAAGGCACTTGTGAACAACGTTTTGAGCTGTCTTTGCCAATTACAAATGTGAGAAAAAACTGTTGAAACAAATTTCGCATAGTAGGAGGACTTTTATACCCTGGACGTTAGTCGCAATGCAATGTAGACGTCGTCCAACCCGGGCTAAGTAAGTACAAGTAGGCCTACGCGTATGTAGGCCTACTTACCCTGAACACCCGATGTCACTTTCAGAGTGCTGCGTGGTCTGAACGTACTCATGGCTTCATTTGTGTGTTTCGCTATGTCGGATGGAATCTTAAAAGTTGGGACTAATGAAGGAACAACCACGACGGCTGGCCTCAGTTGAGATGCCACGTTTTGAGAGGTAGCGCTTATAAAGGGAGCAAATGCCCCGATTTTGGTTCCAGCCGCCAACATTTTAGAAAATATTTACTCAAAATCCTAGCCGAAAAAGCCGGTACGATGTCACCGAAGGTTGTTGCAAACATTAGATAATATCAATAGTTGGCGACGACTAATCGGTATCGAATCTGTGAACGGATCGATAGCAAGCTTACCCTCGTTTTCTGTGTAGATTTCAAGGCAAGTGTAAGCGATACTTTTTTTCGATTTCTTATTAATCGAATACAGTAATTCCTCGCATATAGCCGAAGTATTCCCTGGTAAGTAAAATTCTATCCCTCCCCATACAGCTAAACTCAGGGGCGGGTCTTCGTTTGAGAAAAGGACCTCAAGTTGCCATCAGGACGAAGTCGGTTATGATATTATATTGATGGCATGGATTGTATTTATATTTAAGTTTCTCCATTTAGATGCTTGCATATTTTTGAATGTTGTCCCTTTTAGTCCAGAGGGCTTGGTGAATTCCCCCCATCACCTGTGGTGATTGGGCGATATAAAAAAATTCAAGTAACCTGAGGGGCAATAGTACAAAGAACTGCACTGTGGGTAATTGCATGTGCAAAATCCATCATGGCGCCTATTCTGTGGTGGAAACGCTCCATTTTTCCTATTTTTTAGCCTGTCAATAAAGGCTTTGTTTTTCATTTCTGGATTTTGAGTAGTACTTGCTATGAATGCTGATTGCTTAAGGTTTGTTTCAAATAATTTTCAGCCTAATCATTAGCAAAATTGCAACATGAATGATCGCAAAATTAACTGACGGAATTTCGACCACGCTCGGACACCGGACAGTTGCAGCGGGTATTCGTTGCATTTAAGTTGCAGCAACTGGAAAGCAGCCATTATTGGCAAGTGACCAAAGTTGCGCGCTCAGCGGGTCAGGCTAGGGTCATGCTTTACAACATGTATTTTAGTCCAGAGGGCATGCTATAGCCCTACTACTAGGCTATTTAGGTTTAACGAGCGTCATTGACATGATTGAATGTCAACAAAGCGTCAACAAGTTATTTAGGCCTAGACCTAGATAGCCCCACTAGTGTGGCATGGACCCTCGCTCCCACTCTATCCTTGGCCACACATCCGTATGTGCAATTTTCTGTCTGCGTGGTGAAATCTTCAGCGCACCATCTTAGAATCGTAGTCGCAAATCTTTTTGCATACACAAATATTCCTTAGTCTCTCCACTTTCTAATGACCATTATTTGAATGATTTCACTCAGGTTGTTCTGGTATTTTCCAGTCTTTTTGCCTGTACCCATTCAATCTCATGGTCTCACTCTCAAATTAAAATGTGTCTGTTGCACTTTACTTCACTTGATATATATATTCACTAATATACAACTGCAGTCTCGCGGACTGAGCGATACGTACAGAAAAAAAATACATCTTAAAAAAAAAATTCATCTTGAAATAGTTCGCAGTACCCGCTGCTACACCTGACTCGGACCGGCCAACCGACCACGGCAAGCTCGGTGGTCGAGTGGTTAAGACGTCTGCACTAGTCAGCTAGTAAGCCGGAGGTCGTTGGTTCGAGTCCCACCCGAGTAAGCTTGTGAATTTTTCCGCAAGCTCCTGGACAAGCACCGAGTATACAGTGTTTATTAATGCATAGGTTAGGTAAGGGCAAAACCCGTTATAAACGTGCAGATAGGTTTACGACACGTTCATTTTTTTGTAGAGTTGAATCAAATGGAACAGCCGTGTGCGGGCCGAGGTCAAGTGACGTAAAGTTCATCAGACACATTTTAATTTAAAGATGGCATGTGAGAATGAGACCGTGAGGTTGAATGGGTAAAGGCAAAAAGACTGGAAAATACCAGAACAACGTGAGTGAAATCATTCAAATAATGGTCATTAGAAAGTGGAGAGACTAAGGGACATTTGTGCCTACGATTATAAGAGGGTGCGCCAAAGATTTCACCACGCCAATAGAAAATTGCGTATACAGATGTGTGGCTAAGGATGGAAGGGGAGTGAGGGTTCGTGCCACACTAGTGGGGCTAAGACCTATGCAACTATTTTATAACTGTACTTTTGTAGGTAGGCCCTATTTTCAATATTTGGGCATCCTGGAATAATGGTTAGTAACTGATGAAAACAGCAACTATCATGATCATGGCGATGTAGCCTCGTAGGCCTATCCATGCACCAACAGAGGATCACATTACACAATCATTTCTTTGATCAGTACGTACGAGCGCGTTCGTCATGTTCATTGCAATTGTTTAGCGTCAACAAGCTTCAACTAGCATCAACAAAGCGTCAAGAAGTTATTCAAGCATACTAATACAAAAAAATTTTAGGCCCATGTATAATATTAACTTGGCATCTGCATGTACATATATTATTATTGTTTATTTAAAAACATTCAAACTTTCTAACTTCATCTTCACTATGTCACATCTAAAATGATGTTTGAGTTTGGAAATTTGCGCGACAAAGTTGGTCTGCTTCTGCAGCCGAACTGGCTGCCATCTTGTTTTCTTGAGGACGGCATAGATAAAAAAGATGGTGGCCCCCCATATATTGTGAAAAATTTTCGTTTTCCTGCGTGAACCTGGAATAAAAGTCCTTGTTTTTTTTGCACAGTGGAACATGTTAGAGTCTGTAAAATATGATAAAACCAATTTGAAACCTTTAGAGGATATTTTCAAGTTGTTGACGCTTTGTTCATGCAACTTATGTGTGTTGATGCTTGTTGACACTAAATATCACAACCTCTCAGCCGTGTAAGCTGCACAAAACTTGTTGTCTTAACCATGCATCAGCATAGCCTGCAGCTTTGATTTTAGAGGACGAATTTGGTACATGCTTGCAAACGTTTTGTGATGTTCTAACAATTTTTGTGATTTTCATGGAAACAAAAGCAATCCCAGAAAATTTGGTTCACAAATTGTCAAGTATGAGGTTGCTGACTGGCAAGTCATGCAACTTGCGACCAAATGTTACACTTTGCCTTTGTTTTTCAACTTGTACCTTTAGAATCCTCTCATGCCATTAAGCCATGCCAGTCTTGAAGTTAAACTCCTGCTTTTTTCTAGAAATGTGCAAAGTCAGAGGAGCCCCACAGAATTTGATAGTTTGAATTCTTTGTTGCCAATTGGCAATGGCAGGGTTATTGACAAAGACTGATTTTTTTTTTGACTCAAAAAATTCAAAATTAGTTCAGCCAACAGTCAGTGACAATGGGGTAAGAAAGAGCATGCATTGCTTAGCACACGTCATTGGAAAACATTGTATTCACTTCCAAGTCATCGTGCATTCATTCCAATATGCCCGGGTGTTCAGCAGTCCACGTTGTTTTGGCCCTGTGGACAAGATGGCGTATGTTACTTTGAAACTCCTTATTGCATTTGCTATTTGATAAACTTGTTCTCTTGGTTAATCAAGCAATGGCCTGTGTGCTCCATTGATTTTTGATGATTTAAATGATTTTGATGATTTAAAAATGTTATTTTGCCCTGTGCCCATGCGAGCCTACCAAAAAGTTTTGGCTCATGGCACGCAGGTCAATCATTTGGCTTTGTGTATTTTCTTTCAAATAATTGCTTTGTTTTTTATTCATTCTTATTCAGATATTTCAAATTGAAGTTGGAGGAAAGGAATACCCCATAAGACATGGAATCTGAAGGAGAAGATCAGATTGCTTCCCCAGATGAGGACTCTGGCTCACTGGAGGCAAGCTTTGCTGGCGATGGTAACTCAAGTGAGGAAGAATCTGAGGGTGACTCCAGTCCAAGCCTAGGTGAACCTCTTGACAAACAGGAGACATTGATCCTGATGGAAGATCCAGAAAGTTTGGCATATCCAGGCAGTAGAGACGAACTTGAAGGTTCGGAAGAAATACCGATAGCCTACCAGCATGGGCCTCACACTCCCAGTGATATGGATGGCGAGCCTGTGGAGACCCCTGCAAGTCCTAGCAACAACTCTGCCGAAAGCAGCAGCGACGAAGAAGATGACTTGGATGACAACTCAGTCGGGGAGATGAACGGCAACGTTGGGAATCCTGTGGAGAGAAATGCAGGAGATGGTCTTTTCCGATCCTCGGCGGCGAGTGAAGACAATGAAGAGGAAAATGAGAATGGGGTGGAGGAACCTGAAGAAGATATGGAATGGATTGCATATGGAGATGAATCAGGAAGGCAGGAGGGAGAGGCAGAAGACTACGAAAGTCTTGGAGAGATGCAAGATGATGTCAGGGAGGATGATGATATCACAAAAGGAGAGGAAGGGAGTGACGAGAATGACAAAGAGTCATTGGGAGTGACCCTGTCTGAAGATATGGAGAGAACTGACTTTCAGAGAACTATAGCAAGCCCTGAAGTTGATTCCCCAGCAGTTGGAAATGCCGAGTGTCTGGAAGTTGATAACTCCAGTAACAGGGAATATGAGCAGCCCGAATTGGATGTTGCAGCGGATCAGGCAGTTGAAGAACAACTGTCCATGCAGGAAACGGATCCAACATTTCATCGGCTGCCAAGTCCGGACGAGGTGTCCGCATCGAACTCGCAATCGTCTGTCGTCGAACTGGCTGAACAAACTCAGGCTGTGAGCTTAGACCAGGAGGTGGTACAAGCTGGCGATGAGGAAGAGACCTCACAGCCAATCGATCAAGACCTATCCTCTGATGATGATGCACAGAGTAGAGTGGACCAGAATGTAGGGGAGGAGGGCGAAGCCCAGGAACCTCCGAGCACCTTCCCCGAAACTAGTGATACTGACAAGCAGATCATCGCCCCGGCAGCAAGCTCAGGTAGACATAACATTAATGCTGCACAAGTGGATCTTGACTTGGAAGATAAAAATGACCAGAAAATTTCCTCACATCCGCACGGTAGCAGCCGTGAAACTGGTAGAAGTGAAACCTTGGACGTGGAAGCTAGCTTACAAACCAAATCTAGCATTACACATGTTACAAGGTCTGAACAGTACGAGAGTCACACAACCGCCAGTTCTGGTGAAGGAAGTATGCAAAAGGTCTCCGGTATCACTGACCAATCTGCAGTTGCCGATCAGTCGAAGGTGGAAAGTGACCAATCGGAAAATGCTGCAGCAACTGGAGCCAACCAATCGGAGGTGCTGGATGTTCATCACCTTGACGACCACGGGGTGGAGTTGGACTATGAGGAGGATGTTGAGGACCATGAGAAAATGGGGAAAGATGGGAAAGAAGACGGAGAAGAAGGTATTGATGCAGAAGAAGGTGAAGAAGACGACGATGGTGAACTGGAAGACGTAAGCACATTTTAGATCATAACAACATGATGTGTCTAAGACAAATAATGGCTTTAGCATTGTTATAATTTGTTTTGATGTATAATAGACAGGAACAGAAATCTACTATAAGTATGTTGCTTAGGAACGTACACCTTCAGAATGGCATGGGGAGGGAAAATGTGTCATGTGTAGAAAACAAAATTCAAACTAATTCATACCAGTTGTTGATGCATGCATCGTAATATTCGAGCTTGTAAAGACCACTGTCGTTTTTTCTACAACTTGTATGTGCAGCCAGAGTTTGCAGAAATACCACCTTTTGGTTGATGTTTGATTTTTACCTCAAATTCGTTCAAAAGGGACATTTGTCCCATTAATTTTAAACAGGGTTGTATTTTCATTTATTATTCAGTTGTACATGTATTATTACCATTACCACCATTAACATGGTGTGAAATGGGTCTATTCCGTTTACTTTTGTACCAACGGCCAACTATAGTTAACTCTCCTATGCGAAGGTGCAATCTGCACTAAGTTGTCCTATCAGTCATGAGCAGTCAAGTGACATATGATAAGTCTGTGTACTATAGACAGAGAAGTAGAAGGACTTATTGAGTGGTTGCGACTGTTACTGCAAAAGGAGAGTTTTAATCAGCCACTTCGAGGAAAAACACGACTGTGACATGAAAAAGACACCCGATATGTGCCAGTGCCTCTTCTTCTCACCAGAAATTGGCTGAAACCCAATGTCTACATGTTGAGTTCACATGGTTGATATGATTTTAATCGATTAAATTCTCATGCGGCTGTAGAACTCGGCAGTTGTTGCAAGTTCGCAACGTTGCTTTACGTAGGACATGATCGTCCCTTGGAAAATTAGCTAAAAAAGCAAACCTTAGTTTTGCTTATTGCGGGGCGTCTAAAACAGCGTAGATACATGTAAGATGGTTTTAATTTTTTTTTAATACTAATTTATTATTGCACAGCTGAGTGTCATCTGGTGATAAATAACAGAGGGAGAGGATAGGTTACATTTGTTTCCAATAAAAATGAACTTCAAAGGGTGCTAGTTGGGTACATAAAAAAGTCGGTTGAACCGTTCTGTACCACATTCAAATTACTACTTCGAAACTATTTTCCTTATTTGTAATCACATTTCCCAGATTTCCCCACCCCTAATCTTTCGGGTTGTGCCATCAAAATAAGGTAAAGCGAGAAAGAGGGGGCGTGATTATTTTTTTCATTTTGCCTCAGTGGTACAAAAAAAGACATATTTTTGATGCAGGAAGGCTCCTGAAAACTGTATTTAGACATACATACTGCAGTCTCTGCTCTATGCCATGCTGGACGCTATGAATGTCTTCCTTCATCTTGCCACATTGTTTCCCTGCACAGGATGAGGACATGGAAGAAGGGGAAGTCAAGGAACCAGGCAGCAGGAAGCCATTTGTGAAGAAAGTCTGCCGCTTCTACAGGGAAGGGAAGTGCACATGGGGCTCAAACTGCCGATTTGTTCACCCTGGCGTGAATGACAAAGGTAATAAATTGGGGCTGATTCTAGCTCATTCCTTGTTTGAACCCTGTGCATGACGTACAGGTCAACAATATTATGTAGTATTAAATTAAGTGCATTTGACATACATACTTGGCTTCTTTTGTGCAGATGAGATGCAGCACACCCGTCCAACTTTCCTCTGAATGTGCTCAAAGCATGTGCATTCCTTGGTCCTTCTTCATCCTCATAGCTTTTGATAAATTTGTGATTGACCTGGTGATCAACTTGATCGGTACTCTGCTGGACAGCTTGCCTGAATTTTTAAGCCGGACCGTACAGTCAGTTGTATCATCTTCCATGTCTTCTGATTTGCAGGGAACTATTCCATGATTGACCGACGGGAGTTGCACGAAGCTACAGCTAAACTGTTGGGTATCCCCCAGGCCCCAGCAGCACCAGCGGTAAGATGAAACTGGTCTTGTCAAAATGAAATTCCATGCCTCCCCTTCTCCCCCCATTAAAAGAATAAAAAATAGGTCACAACTTTATACTGGCTGAGTGTCAGTGCAGAATTGGTATACAGTTTGTCTGGTGATTTCCCTAGTGTGATATTCAGTAATTTTAGAGGCATTTCCTGTAACCACTCCTTTAAAGGGGACAAGTATCAACTATGATCCATATCAGTGGTGAGGGTAGGACATTTACACATTAAAACAAAAAGAGTTCTAAATCCTTGTGCAGATTTTTCCAAACGTTTAAACGGAACCGCACCTTTGAGAGGTTCGACACAATCTGGCATTCATTTTCATTGTAAATAATGCCTGTAAAATGGAATCTGATTTTCAGAAAAGATTACTGCTCGGTCATGTCAAAGGAAAGCCATATTGATTCATCTGTTGAGCTTTGTGTGAACTATACATTTTGTTATGTTTAAAGTTATCAATGACACCGGGTAAAGGTGGGACGTTGACACGTTTAAATGTTTAAACGGTATCAGAAAGATTTCTAAACATTTTTCAAATTGACGTGAATTCCCACCCTTAATCAGTGGATAGTTTCAGAGAAATTCATTGTCTACTGTAATCAGGCCAGATACGTGTAGGCTGGAGGCTACATTTCCACTCACTCGGATTTCTGTTGGCATCATTAACTCTTTCTAAACTCTTTTTAAATGCTGGTTTATTCTCAGCACGAAAACAAACCTGAACAAGAAGCTCTGACGTCAGATTAGAGATTTGTAGTGCGAATTCATAACACTAGACATTTCAACTCGAGCAGAATATGTTGCAAGCGTAATTCAGTGTAGTAAACATTTCATAATGTCAATTTCATTATAGGGCTGTGTCGAATATCCGAATATTTGCTTTATTATCAAATGTTCAAATATTATTTTCCAAATTTGAATATGTGTAAGCAAAATTCATGAAAAGGAAGGGAGAATTTTCTTTTGTTTTAAATTTGAAAAGTTGCACTGTTGAGCCTTGTTTCAACCCGATTCAAAGTAAAAGCGACAGAAATCTTACAATGATTCAAAAGTAAGTTGTTCATTAGAGAATTTAAAAGGAATAAAAATTTGGAACAGGGCATTTGTTTCTTAAATCTTGCTAAATCGTGGCTGGAGATACTCCTAGACTTGAGAAGCTGTTATAGTGATTATACTAGTAATGTACCATTGTGTACGTTATTGTAACTGATTTTGTACATGTATATGGTTTGTTCATCAACAACCTGCCTGTTGGTATGACCGAATATTTGCATATTCGATCAAATCGAAGGTCGAATATGTGAATTGTTAATTATACAAATTGACTCAGCCCTGATTCATTTTGTTTCCACTTTCGTCTGAGTATGAACTGCCTTTAACCCTATCCATGCCAGTTCCAACACGATTCTGTATAATTTCAGTAGTCCCAAGGGGGTTTGAACTTCCTGGGCTCTTTGATTTAATACATCGCTCAGTTTGGCATGCTGACTAAAAATGAGGATACCTATTGATTTACACCGTGCACAATTCTCTTAAAGGCCTGTGACTTAAAAGTAGCTCTGGCGACTTTCAACTTGATAGAGTGGGTCATGCGTGCTCCCAGAAATCTTGATGTTTCCTAATGTGACCTTCTGACCTTTTTCCAGCCACCACGGGCCTTTTCACCTCCACCTCCCCCGCCAAGCGAGCCCGTGGGAGAATCAGCCTGGGAAAGAGGCCTGCGACATGCCAAAGAGGTAGGCAGAACCATGACGTTACTGAGTGCTGTGATACACAGCAGTCAATGCTCTCTCCTGAGACCCTGCTACTGTGTGAACGCCTGTACATCTTCACGTGTCTAATTTGGGTAGAATTTCACATTTTCTGGCAACGCTCTTCCCGATAATGATTCCTCAGCCATTCATTTGTGTAGAAAGAACATTTCTTGAGGGTGCAATTGACACACCCGGCGCTGTACAGTGCGACCACAACAGTTGCATTTGCGCCTGAAAAAAGATGATATGCAACCAAATGTTTAATTCTTATCGCCAATGGTGATCATAATTTGTATCTGTTAGTCGCCCACCTTGTGAGTCATATTTCACGAACGATCGCAGCCCAGTTTTCTTCTACGTGCACGGAGTGATGTGTCTCTGATCACACATTTTTTTCTCCGTCTTACTATGTACACAGCATGAGCCCACATTAACTGCAACATAGCTTACATGAATCTACAGGTACTAGATAACCAAGTTGACTGGTTTGTGGTCGCACTCTGTATAGAGTGTATGGGGAGCTGAGCCATTTCCTGTATTCTTAATGCACTAGCAGTCTGTGCATGCCACAATTTCAGTGCAATAAACTTGTTTCTGTCCCAAATATACTCGAAGTTTGAAACCAAAGCTTCCCTTGGCCCTAAGTACGAATTACTCAAGTGTAAGAGAACAAACGTGCGTTGTCTTTTCTTTTAGCTTTTTGCGGTTTTTTATTTATTCCACAAGCACAAAATCCAAAAGCCTGTCTGTCCTGCGGATAATTGACAGAATAATGTTTCTGTGTATTTCGTCAGATTTTGTACCTGTAACTTGTGTATTTTGTATATGTGTGTACAGTGTGTAAAAAAATCGACCCGGCGCTTAATTTTTTTTCTAGGAGCCAGTGGCTGCTCATTTGAATTTTCTCCGTACAGCACTGGACACACCCCTTTAAAGAAGTTGGGAAATTGAGTGAAACAAAAATGTTGTGGTGTCCTTAAAGTGAGGATTGCTTATCTAGGACATGGGATTTGTGCAGACTTACTGTAGCGGGCGTCTTGTCACACATCCGGCAGGTTGGCGTTGCACACTCTCCACTGCGAGGAGCGTGCACTGCACACAGTCTTGCACCTTGTGCAGTGTCTTAAGGGCACAAACAACCCGCAAGGCAATTTTTGTAGTGAAGTGATGAAAGAAATTCAACTGGATACAAGGATAGGAGAATAGAAATATTCAGCTGATTCATTCGCTCATCTTGTCCTCTAAAAAAAATGGCGTTAGCACACTAACTGCTGAACTGTGCAGTTGAAGGAAATGATGACAGATCAAAATAACGTTTTCTACAACAGTGGGGTGAAGTTGCTTTCATGCACTCCCTAGGAAGGGAGAATGTTGCTCAGAATATTTCATGGGCCTCAAGAAGCAGGGATAACTATGACCTACCTACCTTTGTGAATACTTTATAAATGGGTCATTCCGTGAGGTTGGGGCACAATTTGTGACAGTGTCCTTGTTACATGGGTAACTTTTACTACCTGTCATGACCTGTAGAGTAGATCGTTTACTCAAAAAGTAGCACACACCTCTTATTCAGCCTTGCAAGATGTATGATTTGCAATCCACTTGCACGGAAATAGCTGTTCATTTTTACGGAAGCCAGGTAACAATGGGCACTGTCACAACTTCATGGAATGACCCGAATGCCAACGCGACTATGATTTATTTATATCATCATAATCGTCTTAGTCCTGGCTTAAATCCAGTGGTGTAATTTTCCTCATTTGACTGCCCATACTTGAAATGTACCAAACTGTATGAGCGCTGCCAAGTACTGCCTTTCATTTATTCAGATACGTAAGAAGGCCATGTTACGGAAGGAGCAGGACCACAATTTTGAGGAGAAGAGGATGCTGGGCGGCATTCCGTACGAGGAGGAGAGAGACTATGACAAAGAGAACGACTTCACCCTGCCCCAGGGTAATGCAAACTATGAGGAGTTTTATGGGTAAGTGCACTTCCAGTAATCGGCCATCGATGCTGATTAAAAGAAATTCTGTTACCCACATGAGATCATCATGACCACTATTAACTCTAAATCAGCATAGCCACCTTAAGTCTAGCGTGACGTAAATCAATGGGTACCTTCAAGATTTTCACACCCAGCATGTTCGTTTGCATCTGGATGCGAAGCTGGGGGCGCATTAACTCAGACTCTCATTTGGGTCTCCTCTAAGCACCCCGCTGAACATGAAAGAATCCAACAGCTATAACAGAAGGCCTCTCATTCACTGCTTATATCAACTAAAATAGGGTTAAAAGCAAAGACTCAGACTGACATCTTGTTCCTCCTGTTGCAGACTCAAAGAGTAAAAAATACTAGAAGTAGTGACCCATTCTTGCAGTTCGATCAGATATATAACAGACAGTTTTTCTACCATTCGGCACTCGTGCTTTGGTAATGCATAAGTCTTCGATTATTCTGTGGCAGCTTTAGCTTAGTTGATGAGGAAGCACCCCCTACTGACAACAGAGAAGCATTGTATCAGCAGCCGTACGAGGTGTACAACGCCCAGTACCAACGACGTGAACCGCCTCAGCAATACGACTACCGCAGGGTAGGTCATAACGAGTTCATGAAATGCTCAAATCAGTGAAAAATTTCTGAACAGCCTTTTTTTGGGGGGGGGGGTAGTTCTGGACATTGGCTGTATTGAATACTTGTCATGGCATTTTGTTTTCAGTTTCCAGGCCAGGAAAAGTCATGAAAACTTTGTGAGAACCATTTTTATTTTTAAATTTCTGAGTTTTGGACCCAACAACATTGCAACCAATTTTACCAGGTTTATTGGTCTGCTTTTTTAATGAACTGGGTCTTGGGTTTTCAAAATTCAATTGTTGAAAAGTTACGGAATGTAATTATTCTGCAGGTAAGTAAACTCTGACAGTAAGCCAGTTTGGTATTTCATGATACCATCATAGTATTTCATCTGCTGGTCTGTGAGTCGGCATACAGCTGCACTGATAGGGCAGGCTTCATGCAAGCGTATTGCTGTTGCCGAATGAACTACAAGACACTTCATTTTGGCTATGCATTGCCGGAATACTTAATTGGCTCACTAAAATATACATGGCCAGCTTTGTTTTGATGATTTCGATTTGGATTTCAGTCTGGGAAAGATCGACAGTGGCAAGAGGAACGAGAGGAAATGGAACGGCGTGACATGGTCCGGCAGCGCCAACGAGAGATGAACCGCCAGCGGGAGCGGCCCCGAGAAGTCATGCGGGACCGACGCACCCCGCCTCGCCCGCTCTCCCGAGAGCGGCCCCTGCCTGGCAACACCCGGCCCATCCGAGAGGACGTGGACCGCCCCCTAAGGGGGGAGGAGCGCAGGCGGAAGGAGGTGGGGCCACACCCTGGAGGGCATGGCAGCAGCCGACCGGCTGACGCCTGGCAGGACCCATGGGCGCGGTCCCGCTCACCCAAAGCTAACGCCAAGGCAGTGGGGAGGAGGCGACGATCGTACTCGTACTCCTCAGACTCCTTCAGTGATTCTTCATTGTAAGATTTCTTGTTCCTTCGATAGCGAGCTTTCTCAGAATATTATTATTATATAATTTGTAGGAGTACTCCTGACCAGTTGGTTACCACATTTTTCACTCCTATTTGCTAAATTTCTTAGTTCTGTTGCAAGTGAGCTAACCCAGGGAGTGTTCAAGTGATTTTTTTTCTAGAGCGTTTCTCTGACCAGCTGGTACTATGTTTGTGATTCCTCATTGTGGAAAGATTTCGTATCATGCTGCTAGTGAGACTCTCTCAAAAGTAACTAACTTGTGAGGGGTTTCCTAGCCACCTGGTTATCGTACTGCTTTTCCTCCTTGTACCATTTCGAGTTGTGTTCCTGTTTAGTTGTCTCAAACTATTTTAGGACGTTTCTGTTGGAAGATTTGTCCTGACCAATAACACCACGTTAGTGCTTCTTTTGTGTCAGATGTTCATCTAGGTAGGGAGTACCCCGGAATGTTTTTTTAAGAATAATTTCCTTACCCGTTTGGAAGTGATTGTGGCGAACTGGCTAGCTTTAGAAACAGAATGTATGACAGCTTTCTACAATCCAAGGTGACAATTTGATAGTGCAAGCTTTACGTGGGCTGCGATACAAAATGACAAGTCGTACCTAGGTAATTCCAGAAATTAGGGTCCTTTTTTTTGTTTGTCCCTGTCACATCTGACATACAATTTTTAAAGTTCAGAACCCATTTTCTAGTTTCCTAGGGTGATGAATTAAGTCAAAGAGAATGGACGAGGAACTGTAGATTCGTGCTAAGAATTCTTGCATGAATTTACAGTTCTGAGTCTATTCCCTGACTTAAACTATTTCCCATTGTTACACGAACACGGAGTCCCGAGTCTATGACGCTCTTGCTGTTACCCTACACCTGAGTGCACACCTTTGTTCCATCTATTAACGTGCACGGGTTTGTGCTAAAACATCGACGGTATTTGTGCAGTCAACACTGTCAGTGCTGGATACATATTCGCTTCTCTTCCTCTTACGCCTTGGAGTCATTGTTACACATGTGTCATTGCAGCCAAACCTATCGGTCTAACCACCACAGGACTCCATGAAAACGAGGAATGCTATATCAACCTCATGAAAGTATGGTTAGCACTTTTAGAACCACTTTACAAACCGCTCAAAATGAGCTTCACTGATACTAATACATGTTCTTATAGATGAATCATTCCAAAATGCCCCCTCACTCATGTCACTACTTGGACACCACTTGGACTCAAATTACAATGCCAATTTTGGAGTTAATAATAACATTTAAGAATTTCTAAAGCCCACATTTCCACCTGAAATTGTTTATTTCGCTACAAATATTAGCAATACAAGAAATTTTACGGGCTAACTTTTAAAGCAAGATTATATATGTGCTAGGGGAAAAGTGATTCTGACAGATCTGTCACCTCAGGACCGCTATGATCTTGGAACAACTAGAAGATGTACCCGAGTTCGTGTCATTTCAATTACGCTATAATCCAATTCATTATAAAAAAAGAGTTGGCAAAACCTAGACACAGAAAAGCAGCCAAAACACATCAAAATTAATTCCTTACTGAAAGGTGAAGAGAAAGTTCAAATTCTTGTTGAAAATTTTACTTTACAAAGCATTGATCATGTAAACATGAGGGATAACAACCTTTGGCATTTTCTATGGACAAAGGCAAACGTACACAATCAGGCCAGAGCGTGGGCGTTCCCGGTATCTCTTAAATTTGTTAACTGTTGCTATTACGAGGCCCAATTAATATCAGTGTCACGGCAGCACTGCATTAGGTTGCTCTTACTTAACCCAGTCCTGGGGTCATATTTTGATGATCGAAACGAGGGGATTTGTAAAACATTAACTGTAGATTCGTAACAAATCTACAGTTATTGTCTCAGAATCTATTGTTATTGTAAACAACAATAACTGTAGATTCGTAATGAATCTACAATATTTGTTTTGTAACAATAACTGTAGTTTCGTAACTTACAAACTTACAGTTTGCTGTAGATTTGTAAAAATAATCTACACTTTGAACAAAGGAGTGACGTCACAGAAATAGTTTAATGCAAATTACCTGCCAAACAAATAGTAATAGTTAGACATCAATTCTGATCATATTTCCTTGTCAAATATTTAGAATATCACCGATCTTGTGTTCTTATCAACAGGAGCCAATTTATCAAGATTGGTGTGTCTTTTTATTATTTGTTTTTCTGTTGTTTGTCTGTAGCTCTTCTCGGTCACGCTCGCGTTCCCGGTCCTCCTACTCCTCCAGCAGCCGGTCCTCCTCGGGAAGCTCCTTCAGTCGCTCCTCATTCTCTCACTCCCGGTCCTACTCCCGCAGCCGAAGCCCCTCGCCCCGCAGCCGGGCTAGGGCAGGCCAGGCGGGCCGGGCCAGGCCGGGGTACGAGAAAGCCGGGTCCCCCGGCTTCCCCCGGGGGAGGTCCAGCCACCAGCAGCAGCAGCAGCGCCAGCAGCAGCCTCTAGGCAAGGCGGGGCTGGTGGGGGGCCTGGGGAGAGGTGCCACGTCCGGCCCTGGGAGAGGAACTGCTGCTGTACCTCAGGGAAACAGGGGAGCTGCCAGCAACAAGCCAACCTCAGTCAGAGGACCTACCAGGTAAAATAAAACCCGTATTTATTTTATTTTATTTACATCTGCAGAAGGACGTAGAGCGAGCTGATGTGTTATGAATTATCAGCTTGTCAGACTTTTCTTCTTTGAAATGTTAAATTTTCCCTTGAGAGTGGGTAATATTAACAACATCGTCCATTGACTGGCTACATTAGAAACTTTTTATTCTTTCTTTTTACAAATTGAGACAAAGGTTTTTGTCCATTTGGATTCCAAACTTTCCAGACCTACAAAATGCAAATGTTATCCAAAGCGTAAAATTTCAAAATAGCGAACAGCTGAGATAACTTTTTTGAGGGGGGAACGGGAGCAGAATCCCCCCGACCCTTTCTACTGTGACAAGGTGACAAAACTGGTCTCTGTAGGGTTAAGCGCAGTTTGGAGCACATTGTAGACACTGATTAACAGCCTATGGGTTTGTCATGGATTGTTACGTAACTTGTACTGTATGTTCAATTCTTACAAAAAACTGTTTGGATAACCATTGGCATAGCATTCCACTGTACTTCTGTAGTCTTCTCAGCCCTGCCTCTGAACACAGTAACAACCCCGACCCCCTTGTTCCCTGCAGTGACGCCCTACAGCCGTCTCTGCCCACTAAGAGACCAGCCCTGGTCACACCGCCCAAACCGGCGCCCCAGGCTAAACCTGTCCCCGCCGCCAAGGCCCCACCCCAGCCCAGGGTGGCCGGCGAGGTGACCAGGCGCCCACACCAAGAGATCAGTAGACCACAGAATGCGTGAGTTGAAATGGGGGAGTGTGTTGCATGGATGGTGTGCATGTGGTGTTGTCCCGTCTCTGGCTGTTAAAGGAACATGCAGTTGTTTGCCTCACTGTTGATGAGGTGTGCAAATGTGCCTGTTTGCACCCGCCGGGGGAAAATTCCTTCCAGCATCATAATGCATACTGAAATGCATATATTTATTGCATCCCTTCAATTTACTGTCCAGTCAGAATCCAGGTTCCCATTACATTTGCCCTTCGACTTTTGTATCCAGTTCGTAAGTGAATTCGTCACAAAGGCAGATGCGGCACAATTTGCAGGCTTTCATTGGACAATCGCTGAAGTTGCAAATTAACTTCCGGTTCCATGGTTCTGTGTAAACGACAATCAGTGCATGTAACCCTGTGTGCAGTGGGCGTTGTTTAAACTGAAGTGACATCACACTTACGAACCAGATTGCATACATCAAACTCAACGATTCCCCATGTGTGACATCTGTAAAACTTGACGAGCCAAAACAGATCGCACACCTTACTTCGATGGCATTGTATGCAGTCACTTGGCACTTGAACCCTTAAAACAGACTCTGGAAAGAAACTGCCACTGCCCTGCCAAAGGTTCTGCCGCTTGTGACTTGCACCGGCATTTGTAGGTGCAGGGGTGTGGCATGATGCATCCTCTCCGGCCACTTGACCACCCAAACTAACTTGCCTGACCTGTCGTTGTAATGCCCAAACGGCCTTAGACTTTGACTGCCACTTACGGGTATGATGGCCAAAAGAGGACACAAAATGATGAAAATGTGGCTAGCCATTGTTGAGTTATTTTGAAAAAGTAAACATCAAGGGTCCACCGGTAGTGCACAGACGGATCTATGCAGGTCGCTGCACAACAGAATGAAAATCTTGGAATGGACCCAAAGCTTATCCCCATTCGCACAAAAATGGCATCTTCCATCGTGGCACTTTAGTTTCTGTTTTGTTCTTTCCTCTTTTCTCAAGTCATGTTATGTTTTGTATTTCCTTTGCTTTAATCATTCTTTTCTGTGCCTCCCTGGGCCTACCTGTGTGCATGTTGTTTGCTTCTGCAGTTCTGCAGGTCTGTTTTGCCTTTTTCCTCCAGCCTGTGCTTTATGTGCTTGGCGTGAGATGGGGCACACATACTCTTGGGCTTGCCAAGTGTATTGCAGTCGCCAGAAATTGGCTCTTCTATTTAGTAATCGGCAAAGATTCACTATAAGTGTGGTACACAGAGCTTTAAGAAGTTGTCATTCATGATTGTCCATGCCCCTTTATATTTTGGACGTTTTTTAAACAACAAATTTGTGCCTCTGAAAGGTTCTCCTCTGAACCTTTCATAAAGTTGGCTGTAAACAACAAAATGGATCAGGAAATTTGTGTGGATTTGGTTCTAGAACAATTTTTCTGTGCTCTTACCTTGTTTCAAATAATCATAAGCTTGTTGGATATTATTTGAATAAATCAACTCTGCTGCACCGATAATTGCTAGGAGACATTACATGTTTGAAATATTGACTGCTTAATATTTTGAACAGAAACGACCACTTCACATTTGTGTGTGGGACCATGTTCCTCTTAATTTGTTCATGCTCAAAGCCGCAGTCATGTTCAATGTCTACCCTAGCACAACCACTTCCAACTTGTTCAGAATCTATTCAGGGCATTGATGAAGTTGTGTCTCAGGCAAGTCAAGCTCAAGGAATGTGGCACTGAATTCCTGCACAGTTGAGAATTTTGAAGTGGCCATCTTCTCCCATAGAAAATGGACCCCCCTTCACGGGGAAGCCATTTTTGACTGCGTTCCATGAATCTATCTAATTCAGTGTAATCTGTTGAATTGGGTGGTGCCAGACTATGTTGGGCTCCATGCCTCACTTTCACTTTTTTTTTCCAATGGGGTTTAAAAAATTTAGATAAAAATAATCACAAATTTTAAACGCTTCATCAACATAAATGGCATTAAATTTGTAATGAAGTTTAACTTCAGTACTTTTCAGTTTTATTCTCAAGTGCCAAAATAAAAAAGTTAACCTCGCTTTCAATTCAATATGGCGGACCTTTGAATAAGACCAATTCCTCGCTAACTGCAGCCCCATCCAGTGCACTGTTTCATAAATATATTGCCCATTTAAGAAAATCTGGTTTGGCTGTTTGCTCTCTGTCAGGTCACCCATACAGCAGAAGAGACCAACGGCTGTTGCTTCCTCTGACAAGAAAGCTGTTGGGAATAGGAGATCTCCAGACTTGAGGAGAATGGTAAGAGAACTTACTAACGTCATGCTTTGGTTACATGTGCAGTTTCCTATCGGGGCTCAATGGATCATGTCCAACCTCACTGCCTTAGGAAAGAACACGTGCTAGCAAAGATTGATGCCATTGTGTTATGGGTAATTCCAGAAATGAGGGCTCCATTTTTTTGTGTCCCTGTCACATCTGACATATGATTTTGTAAGTTCAGAACTCATTTTCTAATTGCCAAGAGTGATGAATTAATGAAAATCACCTGCCAAACAAATAGTATTAGTTTGAAATCAATTCCGGTGATATTTCCGTGTCAAATAACAAAGGTCAGATGTAACAGGGACACAAAAATGTCACACTTTTAGACCCCTTATTCCTGGAATTACCCTTGTATGTCTATCGGCCAGATGTTGCTTGTGGTTGGTAAGTGTCTCATAGCTGACCTCCATTTCTTCTGTTGCATTATCGCTATGCCCAAATTACTTAACTAAGCCCAGATGTAATGCACGCATCTGTGGAAAACGCAGGAATCCTCTGGCGGCTACCATTCTTCGTGGCCAGCCACAGCCAGGTAATTCCGGACCAGTCCTTGGTCGTAAGTTGAGATGCATATTTGTAAAATGGATCGTCTTCTCCCGGCTTGTCTCCCTAGCCCCCCGGCAGGCAGATCCGGCCCAGGCCCCGCAGCAGCAGCAGCAGCAGCTTCAGCAGCCACTCTAGCTACAGCAGCCGTAGCGGCTCACGCTCCCGTAGCCGCTCGGTCAGCTCCGTCTCCTCCTACTCAAGCATCTCCTCCAGCGAGAGTGACATGTCACCGCATCGGCCGGCCGCCATAAAGGGCATTGACGGGAAGCGTCTCCCACCCAACACCAAACTCCCCAAAGGTTGGATTTGTGAGAGGAACCGACTATTCCATTCCTCTTCAGTTATCCTTATACCATTTATAAAACTGCTGCGATAATAACAGCAACATCATCCCAAACCTTGTCCATTCAAACAGAATTGCTCCACTACCATTTTATTCCAAAGACCAAACATAAAAATTCCCACAGGCTATATTGTACTACTCTAGATCTCAAATCTTATGATTTATTGGAATAAAGTCGGTACAGGTGTAATACTGCATATCAGTGTTGGAGTGCTCATACTCGAGTGCCAATATGTGCTTTGTCCAAACTTGGGAATTAGCATTTGCTTGGCACTGAATGTATTTGATAAACGTGGTACTTGGATTTTGGTACTCGACGACAACACTGCTATTTATATGCTCAAAACAGTTGAAACCACTTCTCCATTTGTTTAATTGTAAACAAGACTGAAAATCATTGCCAACAATAACAGCTTTACAGAAGGCGATGTTGATTGTGGCGACAATTTGTACCTGTTTGAGAAATGTTAGCATAGTTATCATGTTGCTAGTCTTATTTTTTAATTTTAAATGATGCTATAATGTTTCGGTTTTGGGGGATGCATTGTTTATCTTTGCAGTTGGCATACCAGCACTGCAAGCTCGGTCCAGTAAAGTACCCCCAGCACCGACTAACAGAAACACCAAACCCCCACCTATAACCCCGCCCAAAACTCCCAAGGCCCCACCTAGCAGCAAGGCCCCACTTGCGACCAAAGCCCCACCCAGCAAGCCACCCCCCAACAAGGGGGCATCTTCCTCCAAGCCCTCTGCTGGGAACAGTAAGCCTGCCGGCAAGCTGGCTCCACCCAAACCGGCCCCGCCCAAACCAGCCCAGCCCAAACCGGCCCAGCCCAAACAGGCCCAGCCCAAACTGGCTCCGCTTAAACCTCCCAGTAGCAGCAAGCGGTCGCCCAGCCGAAGCAGCAAGTCCCAACAGCCCAGCAGCAAGACCATGCAGGCACCAGCCAAAACGACGGCTCCCACGCAGGCCAAGCAGAAGACCACACCCAAGCCAGCCGCCTCCTCCAGGGAAAAAGACAAAGAGAAGACAAGAACATCGTCGTCATCAGGGACCACGCCCAGTGCATCATCAGGGTCGTCCAGCACGGCAACGGCAGCACAGAGGTAAAAAGCTGAAATGAGTGATTCAGCAGTAGCCTATATTTGGCCAAGAAACTGCCAAGAGTAACAAAAGACATCCCATAGAATGCCTGACCACTGTATATATGTAGCTGTGAGTACATCTTACATTCTAAACTTAGCCAAGAAATAGTCTATGAGAAATTGGTGAAGCTAGTAGCTGGCAGCTGCCATAGGTGCTTATGCTATCTCCACCACAGAATCTGGATAGGTATGGACTTAAAGCCTTTTGCGTGTTAAATTGAACTGAGTTTTTTAAATTTATGTGAGCATAACTTTAATTCTCCATACTGAATACATTGTGGCTATATCTCGTTATTCCGGGCAAGCTTTTGCTTAGTTACTTACGAGATGCCTTGCACTGATACACTATTTTCAATGAATAAGAAGGGCACAAAGAAACCAGTGCATTCCAGAAATGGTGGTTGCTATACAAAAGCTTGCCCCGAATCACGAGGCGTAGCAACAGTGTCTTTAGTCTGGGGAATTTATGTGCAGTCAGATAACCCGGTGTACCAGATTTTATTCGAATTTAACTTGCAAAAGGCTCATTGCAGTAATATTTGAATGCAGCTAACGCCATTAAAAGCTGCATCGAAGCATCATTTTTCTCCTTTAATACTGCCGTGGACTTACATGTTTCATTTTATATCTGTGCCCATGCAGGCAGCATAGCACCTCTGTGCCCGTAGCAGCAGCCCCACGGTCCAACACCCTGAAGGTCACGGCCCACAAAGACATCAAGCTGACCCTGCTGAGCAAGGTGAGTGGGTATGACGAGGGCAAGAGCTTGAAATGTGGGCTTGGGTAAATCAAACTCACAGAAATGATAATCAAGCTTCACGGGTGATGGCCTTCTGTTGCTTTTTTTACTGCCATATCTTAAACATATTTGTGATCAAGAGCTGAACTCTTAATATTGGAAACCATGTAAGTTTGTACACTGCTTTCCTGTACAATCCATCCAGGCTAAACTATCTTACAATGGCTGTCTCATTCAGAAAAAATGCTGTAGACAATTGAAGTACCGCCCCATTAGTAACTGGTGTTCTGTGGCATTTTGGCCCAGCAAAATGACATTTGGACGACATATTTGACCTTATTCGCAAGCCTGCCATCTTGAAGTGAAAGTGAGGTCAGCCTGTTATTTGGGAACCAGAGAATAAATGAAAAGTAATCAATTAACTGTTCATTACAGATCAATATCGTTTACGATGATGAGTAACATAACATAGCAATGTGAATTGTGTTGCCAAATAGCCCTTTTTCAGAAAGAAGCCATTTTTGATCATGTTCCCTTAATCCACAGGAGATTCCCATTGCAGTGCTCCCTGATATAACGCTCTTTCCGATGTAAAGCTTAATTTTCATTTTGCCAACTGCACACCCATTCACTTTTAACATTTTTCTGTTGTTGTAGCGCTCCCGTTTGTAATGCTTGCCGGGATATAATGCGATGATTTTCGGCCCGAGAACCATATACAGCATGTGAAATGATTCTGGTCACATTGCTCTTTACCTTGGAAAGTCAGATTCTTTGAAAATCTACACATATGAAAGCGCATTGCAAGGCCGTTGCGATTGGCCGTCCTCTGAGAAACCAATAGTAGCAATCACACAAAGTGCAGACACGCACTGGGCCGTCCGTCTGTAGGCCCAAATAGCGTTCTCACTATGGTGAGCCGCACCCGGGTCACATATGGTGCAGTTACGTTTTCTTGGATGTTTAGATTGCCATTTACATCTAAACACTCGTCAGCATCGGAGAATAAATTGAAAAAGTCGAGGATTTTGAGTTATTAAATAGAAGTCCCCAAGTCATGAAGTCACAAAGCACATGAAATGTGTGTGTCATTACAACAAACTTAACTTGCTCTGCTGTGGCGCCATTGTAGTGATCATTTCCCACTTTTCATTTATTCATGCGATGTATTTTGGCACACAAATAATCAATACTGAGATACTAGTATTTTGTTACCTAAAGGTTTCTTTCTGCTGATAAATATAAATCAGCCGCTTGAATGGTACTTGTTTTTTCATGTAGCAAATCTCGTCTTTTTGCCAATTGTCTTCAACGTGACAGGTTGGGTGTGTTTTCACTTGGGTTTTCTTATGACGTATTACTTTCTGTGGTCACATGGTTATCCTAGGAAGTCAGTGATTGGGCTGTCCATGAATGGGTATGCAGTGGCAGTCGGGATGTCATGGTGGTGTGAATGCTGTGCGCGTGTGGTGATGCAGCATGGACGAGGTCCCGTGGTGTTTTTTTTAAGAAACTTGGTGGCGTGTTTTTTAACCGGCGTCCCGAAAACTTTGAGTTAACCGGATGCACTGTTGTGCACGGCTTATATTCCCAATATTACGGTAGTTACATCTACCGATACATGTAAACGTAATTCACATAGGCCTACATGGCATATACATGTAGATACATGTATCTATACATGTACATAGAAGTACATGTGCTGTGCACATCTTGTTCGTCTGTCCAGTCGGTTATAGCGCCGTGCGGTTATAACGCTCAGTTCTGTTAGGTCCCCTTGAGAGGGCTGTAATGGGAATCTGCTGTACATGTATCTTACTCAATGCAATATGTCACATGGAGCGGTGCCAAAATGTTTTTGGTTCCGTGCCTCACTTTGGTTTCTTTAAATGTTCTTGTAACATTTAGATGTAATCAAGCACAACTTGTAATGAATTCCCTTTTAACAAGCGCCAGGCAGGCCGTGTACTTGCGCAGGTGGTTGGGATGTTGTTCCAGTGGACAAGAAGCTGTCTTGGGGGCAAGTTTCCCCAGGGCAAGGCTGAAATTGAAGTAGAGTTTGGTCTTTGTTTTTATTTATAAATACACTGTGAAGTTGTCGTGAATGCTAACATTTACCAATTTTGTGATTTAGCTTCCCTCAGGCCGCCTTCAGTGATTCAGTTGCCATTTTGTTTTTCTTCAAGCTCAACAACTCATCACCCATTTGATGCTATTCTTTATAAGCAACTCCCAAGTAGTCAATGTTTGCATTCATTCACGCATGTCTTGGTGTATTGACCCAGATATGGTCACATCAGACTTGCTTCGTCGTAATTAGGGATAAGTTAGAAAAAAAAACTGCATGTCCATGTGACCTTTTTGTGTGCCAAAAGTGGACTAATTTTGGAATCGATAGTTTGATATAGCTTACTGGTGTTCGTCATAAAAAAAAATTAGTAATTAGTAACATTCAGTACGAGACAGCAGATGGATGAGATGGTTTGTGTGATGGATTGCCATGATTTACCATGGAGTGGATTTCTTACAGTTTTGATGCTTGCCACCTGTTTTTTTTTCTATCAAATGAATGCGTAGAATTACAAATGTGTATGAAAAAAAATCAGACTTGCATGAGACTCATCTCATGTCAAAATAAATTGCTAACATACAGTAGAGTCTTGAGATGCTCGCAGTGCATCGTTGGCGCGAGGTACATGTACCTATTTTGGCATAAACCAATGAGCCGTCATTCTGTTGGATGCAACAGCACTGACAGTGTTCAACTTCAGAGCTTCAACAGACAACTCCGTTATTTATAACTGACCTTCTCTTGATACAAGTTGTGCAGGTCCTGTTCAGGATTTGCTGAGGGCTCCGTGTGGGGCACTCTCCAAATCCCTGTATTGGTTTTCACTGTATGATTAATGGAGAGTTCTCTGCTGGCACTTACACTGCTGGGGAACGGTTGTCATGGTTGTGCACCAATATTATCGAGTTGTATTTCAAGACTGCCAGTACATGTACATTACTGTGTTACCAAGACCCCCTCCCCTGACAAAAACACTTAATCGTAAGCAAAACGTCTAGAACATTTTGATTGTTGAGTTTCAATGTGTAGTAGTTGAAAATTTCCTGTCAGTTGGCAAGAAATTTATAAGTCTCAAGACCAAATCAAATGGTAAGCAGCAGTCTGTCTTAAGGATTCAACTTTTCCATTTTTGTGAAAGGAAAATCAAATCAATTGGAATAAAAGACATTGGTGTGAAATATTCTCATCTTTAGGGCATGTTCTGTTACATATGATTACTCAGCTGGCATTGAATTTGCAAATCCCAACCCGATATTATTTTCGTCACGTCACAACAGCCTTCAGCAGACCCCAAGAAGCGTTCAAGCGATCCCCAGCCTAACCAGGCAGGCAAAAAGACCTTGGCCGGCCCTGCCCAGTCAAAGACCTCGGCAGACAAGGGTAAGTGTTGGGGGGTGACATCCCCTGTGTCAGAGACCACAAGCTCCGACACCCCACTTACAGCCAAGTTTAACGTTCCAAATGATCTCCCTGAAACCGCCACTGTCTACATTCGGGTTTACAGTGCCTCCACTGATTCAGAACTGTATCCACACAGCCACTGAGTCTGGTGTCCCGAAGTACCAGTGGAAAATAATGTCGGTTTAACCCTAGCTGCCCGGCGTCCACCAAACTCCAACAGCTGGTTTTGCTAGGTTTGGGCAATTTTGGTACAATCCCCAATGAACTTGTTGAATTTTGTTGGACTTGGTATCAAAGGCCCAGGGAGATGATGTTGGATTATGTGTGAGTTGGGACACACCGGGGGCAATGTGTGCAGTGTCTGGCTTGCTCTACCAAGTGTTGAACTGTGCTTGATGTTGTAATGTTTGGTGCCACGTCAGTGCAAGTCATGCTATACTGCATACACCCATCCATACCATATCACTCAAACTCCGGCGTAGTAATATTGTTGGGAGTTTATCAGGTTTGGTACAGTGACCTGCATGTACAAGTACACAGACAAGTACATGTATGTGTTCGTTGGGTTCAGTATGATCTCTAGTGCAAGAGCCTGGGGGGTTAGGGTGAATGCAGCACCCACCTGTATTGAGGATTCAAGGAAGGTTCCCTCTGGTAATTTACAGGGTAAAATAGGGTTTTTTCGACAGTAACATTAAACTTGTAATACAGTAAAATCTCGATAAGTCGAAGCTCAGGGGAATGGACGAAAAGTTTGAGTTAGCCGACGTTCGAGTTATTGAAAGTTACATGCTTCAGTGCACATGCAACTTTACTGGCTTACAACAGTTGGCCTGCAAGCTGAGTCGAGCATGAAGTGGATTTTAGGCTATCCCTACTGAGCAAGATTTCCTCAAACATCATCATAATACATTTTTTATGTGGTACATCAATAAACAATAAACCAATGAAGTTATGTACCGGTACCTGTGTTGATGTCTTGAGAATTCGTTCATTTGCTTTGCTTGAGCGGGCTGTTGCCGCATAACGCAGCGCGCGGGCCAGTTCGTCAGGGTTTCCGTGCTGGGTCACGAGATGCATGTACAAAGCTCTTAAGGGCGCATCATTCGTGCCTGATTTAGGCTGCATCCAAATCTTTTGTGCGGAGCTAGGTCTTGGTATTCGCACCATTGGAAATGCATGGAGACGTGCAGACAATAGACCTAGCCGTAGCTGTGGAAGCCCGTTTTGGATACGGCCTTTACAGTTGCGGTTGGTGCCCACCCAGTGCTTGTCGACCTGACAATGGCAGTCCGTGTGAATATGCTCGGCTCATCAAAGAAAAGCCATGCGCGTGACAGTAATGACTCATAATGAAGGCAAGCGTTCTTTCATCACTTTTTATTCATCAGTGGTTTTTTTTTTTAATTGGCCTACCGAAACTTCGAGATAAGCGGCTTTAGTGGTATTGAACAGAAAGGCTTATTCTTTTGTCGGGAATACAGAAAGACGTCAAGGTAAACGGAGTTTCGACTTAACAGGCTTCGACTTATCGAGATTTTACTGTATGTGGCATCATAGCTGAAATTGCACCTCAACTACCAAGTAAATTTGAAACATACACATGATTTTGAATACACTTGGCACAGAAGAGATGAATTTCTCAGATATATCTGTTTTCATTTTTTACAGAATCATACAGTATGTTACATATGTTATCACCTATTCACTATTTCTGCTCAGGCTTTCTCTTCGTCAACCACAGTTTTCAAATGTGATTCATCTAGTTTGATTTGTATGATATTGGTCACAGTTAACTAATTCTACATTTTCACTTATGACCGTTCAGAGCGTAAGACCACCCGGCCGCCATCTGCGAGCCCCACAGCTACCAAGAAGACTGTGCCGTCAGCAGATGCCAACCGCAAGACTGGCGCACAGAGCCATGCCAGCAAGACCACCCCCAAGCCAGCCAGCGGGGACCGCAAGCGGCCATCCTCGCCCGGGACTCTGAAGGGACAGCCGCCGGCCAAGGTGCCGGCTCGAACAGCCCATGCCGTAACAATGGGAGGGAGCGCCAAGGCCCCCACAGCTGCCCCTGGGGCTGGCAAGCCCGCAGGTGCTGCTAAAGCATCGGGCAGTGCAGCCCCGAAGAAGAGCACCACGGTGTCTCGCCGGGAAGAACTGTTGAAGCAGCTGCGGGCCGTAGAAGACGCCATTGCCAGGAAGAAGGCCAAACTCAAATAGCTTCCTGGAATTGCATTTTGTATTTTTTTAAATTGTAACAATGAGCCTCATGTGTCACAGAGGAGCCGTTAATAACAAAACTGGAAAGTCGTGTTCTCATCATGACTTAAAATGGCCCGCTCACGGGTGTTGAGGCCGATCTCCGTGGAGTTCGCCAGTTGCAGCCATTTGATCCTCTGCAGTGAGCTCTCTGTAACCCAGCACTCACAGGGGACGCCACCAGAAATCTTCAGGGACGCAAGGGTCGGATGTTCCTCTTGCGGCAGACTTCTCGAAGTGACACCACGCTTGATAAGCAGGCGATTGCCCTGCAGACAATCGGCATTGCCTTCTGCTCCTCGTCACCACAGCCATATCATAACTTTTCAGCAACACGCCACGGTGTATTTCCAGATAATGTAGCTCCCTTGAGAAAGAAGGGAAGCGTTGTTGATGTCAGTGTACATAATTGAGAAACGTTCCAGCTCTCTAACACACTTGTAATGTTTATTTGGTTTTTAACCTTCCTGTTCCTGTACGCCAACCAATAATAGTGTGTACAATCTGATGTTCACTTTTGGTATCAGTCAAGAAAAAGTCAGCTGTGGCGTGCCAATAAGATACCCACTTACATGTACTGTATATCACCAAGAGAAAGCTTTTTAGTGCAGCCTTAATCATGAAACGAACATGGACAGGTAGTTATTCAACATTTGTCCCCGAGTGGAAATGAAACATTACATAACATCAGTTGTTACATCATCCTTTGAATTCAGCATTCCATCTTATTTTGCACGCACTTTTTTGTGTCGTTTTGTTTTTATTTCTGAATTGTTAGTGCCCTTTTTTTTCATTTTCAGTGAGGAATGAATGTTCATTGATTTTAAGATTTTATGTGTTAAACCAGCTGGAATGCGGGCTTGGCACTTCACGGATACCAGTTTGAGGTAATGGGATTTTTGTATTGGGAAGTCTTTTCCACACGCTTATCTTTTAGCCATGCAAAATTCTTTTGGCAAGCATTCATAGTGCATTGATAGCGTTAGTATTGGAGAAAAGTTCTTGTAACTTACATGTAATCCCAGAATTCTGGACACTTTGGGCCGCATCTGTTTTTGTAGTTTTCTAGGTTATGCACAGACTTAATTTTGTCTTTTTATTAACTAAACGTGTTTGCAGATGTCAGATCTTGGTAAAAGACCTGCCGCGATCACAGGAAAAAAAACATGGTTTGAGTATATCTACAGTGAGCTTTTTTTTCTCTCCAGCAGCAAGATTAGCTAAGTGGTAAGTTGTTGGCGAATGCGATTCTGTTGTAGCCATCAAGGCCACCCCCCCACACACACGCATTCCCTTAACCATAACTTGCACAGTGTAGACTATAATTTGGAGCCTTAATTTGAGGCCACTCTGTTTGCACGCAGATGGTACGCGTGCCTTACATTCCTCTCCAAGACAATGGGGTGTTGTGCCTTGCCAAAGTGCATGCACGCCTAAGTTAAAGTGTAGCTGCAGTGAATTTTTCTCAGCCTCAGTTTTTCTTCAACTTTGTATTCTTCTTCAATGTATGAAAATTCTTTTTCGTTTCTATTTGTTTAAATGCACCAAAGAGTGCAATTTTTTCAACAATTAAACTTATACATGCTTTCCTGGACAGCATAGTTCAGATTGTAAACCCAGAATTTACTTAATGAAAATATTTCTGACAAAAGCAGTGGTGGTCACTCATTGCAGTGTGTGCAAACAACAATGAAGGAGCAAAGAAAAGAAACTTTAGTCCAGCAAAACCTACCAAAATGCAGGACTTTTTTGTGTACAAACCAATGTAAAATTGAGGCTTCTTCCTGGGATGAGTTGCAGATTAGCTTATGAATATGGAAATACCAATTAGCATAAAGACAAAAAAGGCCGTAAGGTACCCTTTGAAATAGTGAAACAAAAGTTGAAAATAAGGTTAACTGAGACACAAAGGTGCATTTTGAAGGTGTGTGCCAAAACAAATCGATTGCAGCTATACTTTAATTAAAGGGTGCACATGTGAGTGTGTTGGCCCTGCAGTAAAGGCATCCTCTTGGATTAGTGTGTAGGTGTTATGTGTAAGGTTGAATGTTCTTGGCAAGGTTTGTAGACATGATAGACCCTCAGAATGAGTCCTTATTGCTCAATAGAATGAACTTCTGTGTATTACCTATTTTATGCCATGATGCGGATGTCCGTAGAATCGAAAGAGTAGGCACACCCCTGTTTCACTGTCTACAGTGTATACCAGGCAAGATATGGGACAGAGGGGTACCCCCCCTTACCTGTCCAATTCCTATACACACTCTAGACTACTGTTACGTAACACATCCCCCTAGAAGTCTGTAAAGAATTCCTGAGATTCCGATCAAACAATGACCAACACAAAGGCGGGGGTTTCTCTCCGTCCCATATCTTGCTTCAAATGCTACAGTGTCTGAGCCATCTTGCGGCACCTGAGGGCCGGCATTTTCATCTGAAATCCTCTCACAAGCCGTTTCACTTGTCCAGTCACA